GATGGTGCAGTCGTTCCAGTGCCCCTGCCACGGGCTCCCTCTGGAAGCTGCCCCTGGCCCTGATGCCCAGGCAGGGTCCTCTCCAGCGCCCTCGATGGCGTGTGCCTCTCCATTGGCATGGACCGACAGTCCTAGCAGAGAGCTAGTCCCTGACAGGCTGCTCTGCCTGGAGTGGTCCCAGAAGCTGGACGTTGCCTTGTCCTCTCCGTGGGATACACATGATGCTGGAGGGACCCCGTCCTTGGTCACCTCACCACAGGGGAGGTCTGGGCCATCCTCCCCGACCTCATTCCCGTTGGTTTCAGGGAAGCTCATCACCTGGAGGAGCTCACTCATCAGGGAGGGCCCGAGGTCCAGGCGGAAGGAGAGCAGGGAGTCCGAGCGCTTCAGCTCTGCTTCCCCGGGGAAGGGGCTCTCTTGGGCCTTTTCCAAGCGAGGGACACGAGGGATGGTGCAAAACCCAGACTCCAGCCCTGTGAGGCAGAAAGGATGGCTAGTGAGGGGAGGGACGGCTAGGTGGGAGGAAGCCTGCCTTACATCTGCAGGGGACAAGGGACATGGCCACCACAGTGGTGCAGGTCACGCTCCCACTGGTCGTGCTGGCTTCTAAAGGACCGGCCGGTGTCCATGTGGACATTTCCAAAGCCCAGTGTTACAGTGGAGGCTCTCCGGGTGGGCTCTGGGCTTGGTAAGATGCTGGTGGGGGCTGAGCCAGGCAGGTGGGACCAGGAGATGGCAGCATTGCCTCAGCTTGCCTTTCCCTCTGAGCCCAACCACCTCCCCCGGCTGCTGCAGGCCCCCCAGATCCCCCCGTGGAGACCCTCTGCTCCAGACCTCCCTCCCTGGGGAAGACCTGAGCCACAGCCCAGTGCTGTGAGGCTGGAGAAGAGCCACCCAGCTATCCCGTCCCATCCTTCCCACAACCCTTCCCCAAAGGTCCCTCCTGGACCCTGGCTGGCAGGGAGGGATGTGGGCATAATGGGGAAGGGGAAGGTGGAGTCCCTTGAGGAGCACAAGGGGATGGAGGGGTTGGCGCAGCTAGGGACAGGGTTAGAGCATCTGCATGGAGGTGGGGAAAGCCGTGCTATGGATCACCTTGACCTCGCAACCTTGGTGTGTGGGCATTGCCCCACTGTCCCAGAACCCTCTTGGCTTCCTCAGGAAGGCTGCTCATGGAGAGGGCCCCAGGGCTGGGGGGAGATGGGGGGACACCCCCTTACAACTACTTCACACAGGCTGCCAGCTGTGTGGGGCTGTGGGAGAGGAGGAGAGACCATCCATACCCCACTTTGGGGGGCACCCTGGGAGGTACAAGGGCAGGAACAAGGGTTGCGGTTGAAAGCAAGGTTAGGGTTAGCTCCTTGCAGGGATTATCAGGACTGGGGACTCTTAAATGTCCTGTCTCTGCTGAAAGTCTAAAGCCCCTCAGTGGGGAAACTGAGGCACAGAGTGATGGAGAAGGGCTGCAGAGGACGCGCTGTGCCTGGGCACCAGCCTCCAGCCCATGCTTCACTCAC